ACAGGACTATAACAATTAATTTCAGTCTGATCTTAAACCATGCTGTGCACTGCTACATTACAAATATTTAGAAAGGGTCATGCTAGCTAAAATAACGTGGAAACATTTTGCAAAGGGGGAAAAGTTTTTCTTTTTTTTTTCTGCTAATTCCTAATTTTTTGCGACTTCTGATACTATCAAGATGTATCACCCATCAACAACTCCACCATTTACTTACAGAAAATTCTATACTAGGTAAAACTATCAGTTTCCACTTCCTCCTCAACCTCTGTATTAGTGACAAAAGCAAAACATTCTTAGATTAAAAAAAAAACAAACCAAACCCCTAAACCACAAACCACACCACTGATTTTGGTCTGCACTCCTACACGATTTAAGAGAAAGCTTCATTCAGAAATGCCTTTCCTGATACATATCTTGCAAAGTATACTCTTTAGAAAGTCATGAAATCTTTCACAATTATCCCATAATACATAGCCTATTAAATTATTTCAATAATGAACTATCCCTTTTCTTAAAAATGCCTCCTTAATTTTGAAGCATTTGTCAGCTTTCAGTGTTAACACATTATCTGTCAATCTTCTTTTGATAAATTAAATTGAAAAAAATCATATCTTTAGAGATTTTCTGAATTTCAAGTCATTTTTGTAACTTTTTTTTTAGTTCCTTCCAGGCTATCAGTACTTTTTTTGAGGTGTCGTCAGCTAATAGATTACAGAGATTTCACAATGCTATATAGGTAATTAGCATTATGCGACCAGGTATTTTTTTGGCTATGCATCTAAGACCACAGTCTGAGAACCTTATGTTTAAGAAATTATATCCTCTAAGTGGAGACATGCTAGCTAGTCATGTCCATGCTCCTAGTTCACTGTAACACAGAGTAAAAGAGGTAACGCTCAAGCTCTCAGTGGGACCTTCAGCAATCAAAGATGAGGTCTAATATAAATTATTGACTTTGGAAGGGTTAACTGTGACTATCATATTACTTTCTTTCAAATCATTGTCTAGCTAACCAAGAGAACAGAAATTTTTACTATTCTATCATATACTGAAGTTAGCTTTAGAAGCCAGAAGCATTGTATTGATTTTCCAAACAGTAATGCCAACAAAATAATATCCTTTCCCTCCCCCTTTTATAAACTTTCTTTAATGAAATCATCCTGACAGGATTGTGAGCTTGTTTGCATTCCTTGAGAATGGAATGCTCCTCCAGAATTTCATCACAATATTTGTAAATAATACAGTACAAGCCTGTTGGGTTTCTGTAAAAGCATAAACATTTTGAGAGCAGTGAAATAATTGGTAACATTCATACTTAGTATTGGATTTAATACACTGTGACTAATGTGTATTAAGGAATCACAGAAGACAGGGATGATAAGGACCTCAAGAGGTCAGGTAGTCTATCTTCTTGCCCCAAGGCAATATGAACTACATATAAACCATCTCTGACAGGTATTTACCTAACTTGTCCTTAGAAATTTTCAGTAATGGAGATTCTACAAGACTCCCAACCTGTGTCTGCAAGGCAACTTCTTCTTGTGCTAACAATTAGAAAAATATCTCCTTATTTCCAGCCTCTATTTCTACCACTACAGTTTACTGTAGCCCATTACTGCTTGTCCTACCTTCAGGAGACAACAGAGTTACTACCCTCTGGATGTCAGTTTTTAAATGTGCTTCAAGACTCTGCTTAGATTTGTCTAAGAACATCCATTCTTCTGTCATGGGCCATACATCCTAGTGCTAAATGTATAGCCATCTTCACAACCTTCTCTAACTGATCCAGAGTTTTCTTGAAGGATGCTATCAAAAACTGGACAGCCTTGTTATGGCTGAGCAGAACAGAAGTCCCCTGCATGTCTTCCACATTAAATTCCAGTTTATCACCTCCATGATTTTAAATTATGCTTTTTGGTAGAACTAATCACACAACACTGCTAATATATTTTATGTTCAAGATACTTTATAACTCCAGATCTTCTTCTGGAGACCTGCTACACTATTTTATTTGTTCAATTAATTATTCCTACTAGTATGATATTCGGCATGTCTTCACTGAATTCCATGTAATTTATTCCAGACCACCGACCTATATCTTCTTGAATTCTAACTCTATTATCTAATCTGCATGCAATTACTCCTTCCATTTTTTTCCAAATTTGACATTATGACTGCAATAAAGATATCCATTGCTCAGGATACGTATCAAGCCAAATTAGTACTAGATTATTACCAGACCCAACACTGGGATAAAGCCTGGTACTTCACTCAGGTTCAACTGTGACTCAACGACAGCTTATTTAGAAAATAAGGATTTAACAATCAACATGACAAAAAGAAAACTGTCAAACCAGTCTATGTTCCTCCTTTGACATGATAACAGACTTTATCAATGGAGAATATCTCCTGGTTTATTTTAGAGCCTTTTGACTCTATTCCAGCTGAATACCCATAAGCAAACAAAGGAAACACATACTGGGTGAAACTACCCTAGAAGCTTAAAAACAGATTATATTATTTTTTCTGGTATTTTTTTGAGCACTGATGTTATCCCACAGATGTCTTCACCTTCTCCTCAAAGACAGGCACTGCTTTGGCCTTGTTGACTTTGTGGAACTTTGACAGTTCTTTACTTTCTACTGATGACCTTCATTAGGTCCCAGCCTGAAAACATTTATGTTTTTTCTAACCCGGTCTTTCCTTATGTAAACTGGGTAGTCCAATTTGCTGGTATTAACTGTGCCAGGTGCACATCAATTTGGGGATCAGGGTAATGGGAGAAGCAGCTTTTCTCCACTTCCATAATTTTTTAAGAACTCCAGTTATACAACACTGATGAACGGAAGTTGAAATTCTAATTCAGTTTATTTTTTAAATGTGTGTCAAAATTGAATGACTGTAATTATGGAAAGCTTAAATCTTCCATTTCTCTATGGAGAAATAAGCTTTATTTCAGAGGCTGTAATTCTGAAAAATTCTCTTTCCCACCTTGTCTTAACCTTGACCTAGTGCAAGCTTTTTAATACAGGGAATCCAAAACCAGTGGTGTTTGTGGTCAGGAAAACTAATAATCAATGTTAGAAGACAAATTATCTACTGTAAATGAAGAAAGAGATGTACAACATCTCTTCACAGTTTCCACAGATTTCTGTCTGAGAGTTCACTATTCCCAATGTGTTCTTTATTCCTCCCTGTCCCTTATCACATTGCATTGTGGTCTAAGAAAACGATGTTTAGAACGGTGGTTGTCTGTTACCGTGGTATCTGCCTTTACTCCAAACAATACAATTCTTTCATATCCTCATGAAAGACTTCTTGAGGGAGACCCATGTTGTGGGTGCAGGGAGAAGAAAAGGAGATAAGCCTTCCAAAATCCATCTTTATTTCATCATGTTCCTCAGCCCATCACTCTGTGCTCTACCAATTTGCCAAGCAAGTTAACTATATCTAATCTTTCTGTTAGATTAAAAGTAAAAATAAGAATAGAATCCATATGGTAAGAATGATGAACTTTTACCAGGATAGCACACAAGGAAAATATCAGAGTTAAGCAAGGCTTATAAAATCAAATGCATGAAAGTTAAAGTCCATTTCCTATACCATACATATGGGTTAATCTGATTTTAATGTAATATGCACAAATACTTGACAGCCATATAGGTAGCGGAATTAAGCCCAGAGTCACGAGACATTCTAGTTAGCTAGAGAAAAGACAGAAAGGGAGGTAAATTGCTCAATACAATATAAGCACTTGCAACCTATCTGTCAGATACCTTTGTGTCTATCCTCTATGGCCCTGCTACCAAAAAAGAATAATAATTGTACATAATATAAAAAGTTGGTTCAAATATTTACTATAGAAAGAATTAAATATAAGTTCTCTGCTTTCTCCTGAAAATTCGTTTTTTTTACATTGCAAGAATTTACTTTACAAACCAGTGACGTTTCATCACGTAACACAGAAACAAATTACAAAGAGACTTGGCTTTTGCTTTTCTACAGCTCTAAGAAAGGTGCTTCATACTGTGCTTCTTTCATAAATCTCAGTTTTTATATTTGAGTGTACTGTAATGAAAATCAATCACAATGAAGCATACTGTACTACTACTACCAGGAGCTGGCCCTATACACTGGGATCTATAAAACTAGGTATTCCATAAATTAAGTGACTGGGCTGAACAAAGAGACTGCCTGGTATTTGATGTTTGACTTGACTTGAAATGTCTCCGGGAAAGATACAATGGATGTGTGTGCTACAGGCTAATATGAGTCTTCGCCACTGTCACTCATTTTCTCTTGGTCTTCCTTAATTCATTACTGATAGACATAAACTATAATAAGTTATTCATTCAGAGAAGAATTTATGATTTTCTCTGGAATTAGGGGTGTTGTGTAAGACATAATTAGTGATTGTAATTCTATTCTCAGTATTTTGTATTTTCCTTAGGTGAAGCTGTAGGATGCAAAGAAGTAAAAGTCACATAATAAACTAATCTGATATAGCATTCTAAGCTATGTAGGTCAAGGATGGCCTGTCTTCTTCGGCCTAAAAACTGTATGGATATCTTCTAAGACTGATAGCCACCTGACACACACATCTCTGAAAGCTGACGGGGCATGGTGCTCAGGGAATAGTTCACTCACAGACAGATAGCAATAGCTTTCCCCAGTCCCCACACTCAGCTGTCAGTAGGGCTGGACTGAACATGCAGCTGTGTCCTAGGCTGTCCTACTAATGTCTGCCTTAATTGTCCCTGCCAGCTTGCTTCCTCCCACAGCTGAGGAGTCAATATACCGAGCTGTCTCTGTGCCACAGCAGCTTTGCTGCCAGTCATGGCACGTAGCACTGACATGAGAACCACAGCTGAACTGCTTAGGAGCCATGCGCAGCTACAAGATTTTTCACAGCAAGTGTAGATGCAAAAATATCGTTTACTACTAATATGCACATAAAATTTGAACACACAACAGAAGCATGTGTTATTACAACTTACCATGTTTTCATTGCAGGCGGTAAAGACAATTCTTCAGGAAGGTAAAAACTGTGCCATTTTATGGACTGATACAGTTCTGGAGACATTGTTTTAGAAATATCATAATAATGGCCAAACTTTGTAGATGTTGCTGGGCTGGCCTGTGGAAACAACAATACTGATTACAATAACCTATTAAATTATTATCTGTCAAAAGAAAATAATTAACTAGCAATACACTTGAAGTACACCTCTGGTTTTCTCCCACTCAGCTTAAGTATGAGCTTCAAGTAGAACAACATTTATAATATTTACCTCTAAGTTTTGGCTCCCCTGTTGACATTCTATAATGTGAATTTTTCACACAGAATTCAACCCTTACTGTTCCAAGTTGCATCACCAAAATGCAGTCAGATACTTAAAAGAATGTATTTTTGCACATGTTCTAGACATATGATCACAAATTTCAAAAGGCCAGATATATGAAATACGCAAACCATGACGTGTTCCACCTACCTGTTCTACCTATCTGGGAATTATATGGTGCTACAGAAACTTTTTCAGTTGACTTTGAAAATGTTTCACTTTGTTTATTTATGATCAGTAAGAAAAAATACCATTGCATCCTCATATATATGATTTTAATAGAAAATTGTAAAAAAGAGGAAATAGTTAAAAACAGCTTTTAATTTCTTGAATTTTGAATAAATCGCAGGTTGAGCATTACACAGACATTACACAGAATAACCATGGTTTACTATAATGAAGATACTTTTTTATCAGCTCTCAATTTTGGGTACATAAACCATCATAAACCCCCCAAATATAATATAAACCATAGCAGGAATTACACATTTTGAGTACGTTTTGCTAGTGAAACAGAGGAAATGAATGTATATTTTTGTCCCACATTAACTGAGTTCAGCATGCAACCTGCAACACTATTTGAACTACACATGTAATGTTAGAAAACCCCTAGATTGTTATAATATGTAGTACTCAAGTACGTAGTAGCTGTCTGCTACAGGAATCGGACGGTTTTTGCTCTTCATGTAACAATCTATTTTCTTAATCTTTCCTGCCCTTCCCATTAAAAAAAAAAAAGCTATCCTAGAAAGAACAGTCAAGCAGAGTAAACCTCAGAGGCAAGTTAGTTTCTTCCAGTGAAGGAAAACACTTGGCACAAATGTAAACCACTATGTAGTATTTTTTAATGTACCCACTGTAGAGGAGTAACAGATTACCAAAGCAATATTAAAATTGATCTTTAGGTTATGGCACAAACACCACTGTGCTCCTGATCCCATTATCTCTCATCAATGTTCTAATTCATTTGAGGAAAAAGAAAGGTCATTTAGAATAACCAAACAAGTTTTGTAATACAAGTATCAATCAAAACCACAATACTTCTAACTGGTATGACGCCTGGACTGAGAAAGGTGCTGGATCCTAGACTTTTAACAGCAGCTTTGCAGGTCAAAAGAATGATCACCTATTTATTTTGAGGACAACTACCCTAAGCCTGGATCGCATCTTAAGTATGCATTGTACAATGCAGGAATATGCAAAAATACTAAAGGTTGGTTTTCTGTCTCCCAATTCCAAGATTTACTGCTAACCTGAATTCCCCATCAGAGCCAAAGCCACCTCACATATTAAATGATAAAGTATTAAAATAAAATGAAATATCCCAACGGTTGTGAAAGAGAACAGGTGAGACAGAAAAGGTAAGAGCTGAAAGTAAGAGAGACGTTGAAGACATTTACACTGCAGAACAGAATGCCTTTTAAAGGTCGTTCTGAAGAGAAGTTTGGTTTCGTAGGTTAAAATGAAATGCTATCTTGTTTGTACTTAAAAGCATGGAATTACTTTTGAAAAGTGACCAGAAATATCCCCAATAATTTCAAAAGTTTCTCAGTAGGTTCTGTAACAACTTCGAACATTCTATAAAAGGATTTTTCTTTTAAGCAGGCCAACATATACCTTTTATCCTCTATCTGAAAGCTGAGGAGGGTTGTGTGTGTATGCAATGAAAATTCTTTGGAACAACTTCTGCTCCAGTTTCAACACCTGCTATTCTTGCTATATACAGGAATGACAATAGGTATACTGAATTATTACAATAATGGGATCCCAATAACTTTTTGTGTGTTGAGCAACAAACCACTTAGTGCCAGCTCCAATTACTACAGAAAGCTTGTAGCTTTCATAAACTTTGGTCTTGCTAATAAAATAAGTACTGTAACAGTAAAAAGAAAGAATACAGACATGCCAGACATGGCATGGTATTTATATATATGGTATTTACAGCTAGCTTTCTGAAATCAATCATGCTATGTATTTCCACAATTTTATTTCATGCTTCAGCTTACCAAAAAGATATTAAACTGCTAAGATTAATTGGAATGATTTGATTCAGAGTAAATATTTTGAAATTATTTTATTAATGGATGTTAGGCCTGGTCAGTTACCAGAGAATATAAATAGTAACAGCAACAGAAAATCTTTCCCACAAAACCAGTAGAATAACCAAACTAAACCCAAACTTTTAATTAAAAGAAATAATTAGCTTTTAATTAAAAAAATCCACAAAACTGCTTATGTATATCTAGTCATAAGAGGCAGACCAGTTTACTCAAGAACAGACAGAAAAACACATTTTCTAAGCCAGTGTTCCAATTTATTTATCAGCACCTGATTTTTAAAGAAGGAAGTCCAACAGAATATAACAATGTATCAAAATCTAAATATTTTTAATGTAAAATGTAACTTTATTTAAAATGAGGATTCTGAAAGCAATTTAAACAGGGGCTGTTCTTTGGCCTATAATCTATTCTTTATCCGGATTACAGATCAGAATGTTTTTACTGCAATCTCTGCCAGAGCTCATCTTTTTATTGTGTACTTCCAAGCCCCCTTAATGTTTTAGAAAGGCCTTGACTAACTGAACTTTGATCTGATGTCTTCATTGAGAAAAGCTCCAGGTTGCCCATTTCAGATGCAAATCCTTACTGAGGCCCAATAGAGTTTAGTAAAGACAGCAAAAAAGAAGAAACAAGAAGTTTCCAGGATCCTCTTTGAGAATCCTGAGGCACATTGGTGTCCTTAATCCACCCTGCTGCATGGATTAAGGTAGGTGATAACCTCTCTTGATTCAAAAGAATAAGCACAGTGCCTACAAACTGGGTGGAGACTAGGATTTGGCTATAATAAAACACCATGCCATAAAAGCTCGGTCTATGTTAGAAGCCTATGAATAGGCCTCAGTGTACTGCATTCCCAGGCTTAGCAGGGAAGCTTGCAAAAAGCCTACCTGAATCAAGTAAGCATGAATAATCTGCCTTAGCAGAATGGCCATGGAGAGTGCGAAGCTGAGACCTTCCATTCCTCTTAAGTTTGATCTGATAAATTTATTAGTGGATTGGAGGCTCAAGCCTGTTCTTTCCTGGATTCCTATTTTGCACAAGGAGAAATACACTAAATTGGCAGTGAGCAGAGCATGCTTTTATGCTACCGTCTGCTGTTAATGTTTCTAATTGCAATACTAATGTGCTAGAAATCTCAGGTTTAGGATGAATCAAGGCAGAAAATTGATTTCATGCTGTGACAGTTTATATATTGCCCCAAGAACATAAGCAGTTCAGTCAAAAAAACCCCAAAACCCCACCACACTGTCTTGCACTGCAAAATAGGCTATCCATATACTCAAAAGTTTAAATGAAATTAACCTCTGATACAGATGAAAGTAACACACTGGCAAAGGCACAACGCGACCTGTTACTCTGGCAGATTTCTCATAAATCTTCTGTCTTTTTCTGATATACAATGTATATGCAATATGCATAGAGAACCTGTGATAGTTATGAAGACTACTAATATTAATACCATGCATAAGAACAAAAATGCTAGTCTAGCTAGTCCATTTGAGGTCTAATGAATGGGAAGGGAATATCTGAACTATTAATGAAAATCTCTTTTATTACTTAGAAATAAAAACTAAATAAGGCTTCAAAAATACCACAAAGACAGCTTTTACTCAGCATTCTTACTTCATTTAAAGCCAGATATTGGATGGAAAAGTCTTCTGCTAACATGTTTAGAGTTCTAGTAAAAAGGAAATCTATTTTCTCTCTTTCATACTTGAAACTATTTGACACTAGTTTTTGAAAATGTACTAGTTTATTAGTTCAATCAGTTTGGAAAATATGCCTTGATTTTTTTTTTTGCCCCCCTGCTGAAAGAAAATTTAAAGAATAAATCAGAACCTAAGTTGTTAGTTAAATGATAGTACTAAGTGTATTAAACATACAGGGTGCTGCAAGGCAACATCAGATTCTTCTTCAATGGAGTATATTCACCAATCAAACTAATTTAGCACAGTACCAAAATTTTATGATAACTGCATTAAAAAAATATTGAAAAATATAAATTTCAAACCTATTTTTCACTAATTAGAATATCCTGAGGAATTTTAGGTATAGATAGCTTAAGAATTAGACTTTTATATGCAAGTTTTAAATTTTTTTGAATAAATTTAACATATGCATAAAAATATTGCACCTGAACTATTCAGAATGATCAGCATCCAATTTAGAAAGCGACAATGACAACAAGGGAACCACCCCACAAAAGATTGACCATTTTATTCTATCTTGCATAATCAAATTTCAGTAATCGAAGACAAGTACACTATGTGTTGTATAGAAATATTATATCAGTGGAAGAAGTGATTACTTCTACAAAGTTATAGAAGATGAGTACATACCTAACTGGATTATTTGTATGTTTTTCTATTTTGTTAGAACACCAGAATACTATTTGTTAACCACATGCAATTGTTTCCATATCAATGTATGAGGAATTCTGATAGATTTTAGAAAAGACAAATTATTTTGGGGATGGTTCGGAGTGGCACAGCAAGCTCCACAATAATAAAATTGATGAGATTATATGATTACCCTGGAGGCTGTTTGATTTGGCATGTCACCATATCTAAGTCTTTTCTGACACAACTATATAGCCATGTCTGTGCAATTTCACAGAAAACCAAACATGCCAAGCCTTGTAAGATCATTTTGTCACATTCCAATTATGGTTTTTAAGAATACGACTGAACTTACTAGGCAGTTATGACAACATCTAAACCAGAATTTATAAATGTAGGCTAAAATGTATAGACAAAAGAAGTTTTTTGTTCTGGATAGTAAAAAATGCTGTAATTTTATTAAAGGTTGATATAAGAAAGTCACCAGCCACGGGAGTTACACAAAACACTAACAACTGTAAACTCCGGAAGACTGACCACTGGGCTTGTTTCTTATATTCTCTCTGCACAGTGATTAGTTTCTAGTGACAGTGAAGCTGATATAATCTCAAGTGCTTACTTTGGTTGTTACGCACATGGATAAGCAGGTCAACAGCTTGCTTTGACACAGTACTTTCACTACAGAGATCTAGTAAGTACTGTTGATTAAACCTACTTAAGTAATTTGTGTACAACTAAATTTGGGCAAAGTTTGTAAGTGACCAAATTACTCAAACTTTCATAAAAGGCTGTCTCAATTTAATAATACTCATTGAAAAATCCCATGGAACTTTAATGGTTTTTACTTTTAAATTATTATTGTCTGTATTAAGTTTTACACTTCCTGCAAACTCCCAAATTCCCTCTCTCTCTGTATCTCAAGTAATCAAAAAATATAGTGGTGTATCATAATTTACCCTCAGGAGGCAATCCTGTAACACTATCTGTTAGCAGTTCTAGTTGTCTAGATTCTACTAAAAAGCATTAGCTCTACAAATTCCTTCTGACTGCAAGAGAAAAAAAAGTATGAAATACTGATTACCTCCATTTTTGGTAAGTTTTGGTAGCGCCAGGCTATTTTCATAGAATCCTGACAATCTTCAGACTTAACAGCTGTTGCTTCTTCTCCCAGTTCCTTTCTGTAGGTATCATCAAGCAAAGGGGCTGGAAGTTCCTACAGGTGGAGAGTCAAAGAATGTCAGCTATCTACAGTAGAAATGGCAGTTCAGATTTTTAGATTTTTACACCCCCTCCCCCCCAAGTTAGCCAATACAGTTATCTTAATATAATGGACAGTTGTAAAATCTGTAACAAAACTTGATTAAAGTAACTGTTCTGAGAGACTGGCTCCTACTAATACTGAGTATGAAAAAACCCCATGTAATTATTATGGGAAAAATGAATTATACAAATGTAAGAGAATGCAGAACAGAAATATCACATTGTATACTCTACACAAACAACACATCTTGAGCAGCATCCATATTCTTTTTCTTTAAAGGTTGATCTCCTAAACTGTTCTGAGAATAGGTAAGTTCCCTGCATAGTGAATTTAAGCCTATTTTATAAGACCACTTTTCTCTGTTAGCTTCTGTAAATCTTTCAAAAGTATTCAACAGACCACAACAGCCTACAGACACAGGTGGAAAACAACTGTAACAGGATGGTTTGAATTTTCTCTTCTGCTAACCATTAGGCATGATACCTACTAATGACAGATACCTCATAAACACAAACAAGGGAGTAAAAGGAAGGGGCAAATATTTAATCCTGGAATTTTTGTTAAGTTTCTAACGCAAACATTTCTGGCTTTAAAAAAAAAAAAAAAAAAGCATCGCAGACAGGTGGGTTTAACTGTTCTATGAGGACAGAACTGCAGCTTTGACTTAGACCTAGATTAGGAACAAAGTTTTATTACAAGCTTTCTGCTTTCTACCTTTGTTGCATTGCTGAAAAAGTAAACAGCACCGAGTGGATATCAAGCACAGCATTTGGAATTTATGCATTGGGCTTCTACACCTACTAGAGGAATCAAGCGCAACCAAGTTTTCTGACCCAACTTTATCACCCATCTGCATAAGCTGGAGGGCACAGGAACTTTTTATCTGCTTAAAATAGATCAAGACTTATTTGAAAACAAAGTGTTCATTAAGCAAAGACTCTTGAGAGAGAACTGAGATCTGGTCTCAAGGGTTAAAGATACAGAGCTAGCCAGTATCTCTGTTACAAGGTATTAGGTGTGAAGACATTAAAAGCCCAAATTTTAAAACTTAAGAAGAAGAATCTCTATTGAAGCATGGGATACACATGAAACACTGATCTGACCACAAACATCTAAATGACATTCACAGCTTTATGTAGGCAGACATGGTACAAACAGACACACATAGAAAGAAGACAATGAAAGTTTAAATGAATCCATTTTGGGTTTAGTATTACATTAATTCAGTATTAAAGAACACAGGAGAGAAAACCTGTATATAGTTCAATATGTCATCTTATGAAAAACATGCGTTATTTTTGTTCCTTTACTGTAAATTAACAATATCTACAATTATCGACAAAATTGAGAACAAATGTTTCTAATTTCAGGACAGTTGTTTCTGTCTCTCTTTCAGTGGTTGGTCAGTACACCCTCCGAGATAAAAGGTAATGGAAGCTATGAAAACTTTTTTGTAGTTACTTCAATAAAGTTGCAGAAATAGAACAACTGTACCTATGTGTTTCAGCAGCTAAGCAGAAGATGCAAGCCACACCTTTGAGCAAATAATTTTATTTTATTTACTTCCATTTTGCAAATGAACTGCAAAAGCCTGGTAAAGGCTCATCATGAGAATGGTTATGTACAGAGTTAAATTTTTAGATTCCTTACAGCTTGTTTAAAAGATATACTTGTATACAATAAACTCATGTTAACATGATTGTAAAAATTAAGCTTTATGGGTAGAAAAGCCACACGAAGATTATAATTTTAAGTTAGTATTTACAACTTTCATTAAATTTGCAGATTTATAACAAATGTTTCAGTAAAAAAAGAAATTCACTTTTGTCAAAGTTTCCTTATATCTACCCAGAAAGAAAGCAGGGAAACTTTGAAACCAAAGACAAAGATTTCTGACAGATAGGAGAAAATGAACACAGAACGCTGTACTGAAAGGTTCTGAGAAAGTATAAATACAAATATGAGCTGACAAGCATGCCAACGCATTTCACATATATGCTGATACAAATTATTTGCATTTACTTCTAAGAGCATTATATAAAGGATTTTTCTAAAAAAGAAGAAAGATGTTATTTTGAATTTCTAATTTTATAACTCAGATATCCACAATAAAGACTTAATTAATCTTATTTTCCAATTAAGGAGCTATTTTGAAAACAAATTACTGAACAGTTAAACTATTATGCAGATTTAATTTCCTAATACAGCTATTCATAGATTTAAGCTGGTTAAGGTAAAAAGGTCCTTCTTTTTCAGTGAAGAGCTACTGATACGTGATCATCTCAAAATATTGCTCAATTACAGTAATTTAAAAAATAAATAAAATCAGCCTTCAATTAAAAGGTGTGTTCTGTAAAGGAATAGTCCCGCAGGGCAAAACAACATTTCCAGATATCTCTTCCTTTCATTCACCAAGATCAACTGGTCCCCAGGTACTACTGTAACTCTTTCTAGTGGTAGGTAACCTCTGTTTTTCTGAAAACAAATGCCAGCTACAGTTTGGAAGAGATTATGAAACCCTGCCTAAGCATTTCATCAAACGCCCTGAGCGTGCCCCTGTTTCAGATCTCACCATTGATATAACAGGTTGCTACCTCATCCTGCTGTATTATCACTGGGCAGCTATCACATCATCTGCAAGGCCAAAATCCAGGAAATGGCATATTTTACCATTCACCTTTACTTAAATAAAGAGAAAAACAGCACCAATATTTTCTTAAAGCTATTTAATATCTTCTTCCTCCTCTAGAATCGCTGCAAATGCCTGTCACTTGTACTACTGGTTCATTGTTATTACATAATAATTGGCAAAGACACACTTGAGACAGGGACATTTACCTATATACATTTGCTTTTATATAATCACACATAATGTATGTTTTACACAGAGGCTGTATTTTACACTAAAATAGAACAGAGATCAAGACAATAAGGGGTGAGAGGTTCTCCAAGTACTAGTGATAACGTACAAGCTACTTCAACACCCTCATGTAACACAGAAGAAATTTCCTGCCTTACCATCAAACAGAACAAAACCTTCTTACATTGCACTATATGGAAGGGAGACATTACAAATACCAGCTGTTGACATCCGAGAAGCTCAGTCCAAAACAATCATCCAGACACACTATCAGTGTAACACAATTAGGCACTGTGGTATGCCTTAACTGTTGCTAAGAATGAAGCAGATTAAGAGATCAAGGAAAAATGGTTTCACCTTAAGCTGATAAAGATTTTGGCTGCCAGAGATGAAAACCTATCTAAGTATCCACCTGAAATAGTCTTTTTTGCCAATATAGTTTACTTTTAACTTCTGACATAATACAGAGATTTTATTCTGACATAATAGAAAACTACTAACATTATAAAATAATTGTTTAAACATGACTAAATTCATGCAAAGCAACATGAGAAAACCTGTGACTCGCCACCATGGCAGTTAGCGTATGCATCAGCTTAGGCCTGGTTTATAGAATCATAGAATCGTTTAGGTTGGAAAAGACCTTTAAGATCATCCAGTCCAACCATTAACCTACACTACCAAGTCCACACTAAACCAATCAAGGGGAGACTAGACTAAACCATGTCCTGAAATGCCACGTCTACCCGTTTTTTGAACACTTCCAGGGATGGTGACTCCACCACCTCTCTGGGCAGCCTGGTCCAATGCTTGACTACTCTTTCTGTGAAGAAATGTTTCCTAATATCCAGCCTAAACCTCCCCTGGCGCAGCTTGAGCCCATTTCCTCTCGTCCTATCGCTAACTACATGGGAGAGGAGACCAACACCCACCTCACTACACCCTCCTTTCAGGCAGCTGTAGAGAGCGATAAGGTCTCCCCTCAGCCTCCTCTTCTCTAGGCTGAACAACCCCAGTTCCCTCAGCCGCTCCTCATAAGGCCTGTGCTCCAGACCCTTCACCAGCTTCGTTGCCCTTCTCTGGACATGCTCCAGCACCTCAAGGTCTTCCTTGTAGTGAGGGGCCCAAAACTGGACACAGTATTCAAGGTGCGGCCTCACCAGTGCCGACTACAGGGGGACAATCACCTCCTTGCTCCTGCTGGCCACACTATTCCTGATACAAGCCAGGATGCTGTTGGCCTTCTTGGCCACCTGGGCACACTGCTGGCCCGTGTTCAACCGGCTGTCTACCAACACCCCTAGGTCCTTTTCTGCCAGGCAGCTTTCCAGCCACTCTTCCCCAAGCCTGTAGTGTTGCATGGGGTTGTTGTGACCGAAGTGCAGGACCCGGCACTTGGCCTTGTTGAACCTCATACAGTTGGCCTCGGCCCATCGGTCTAGCCTGTCCAGGTCCATCCTGCAGGGCCATCCTACCCTTGAGCAGATCAACACTCCCGCCCAACTTGGTGTCATCTGCAAACTTACTGAGGGTAAGTATGCTGTCTTGCCCTTTACTGCCCCACAGAAGGAACCAGGAGCACTTGCAGAACTCTCTCATACCAAGAGCAACTCTTATTTCCTGTGTTTTTCAAAATGCATTTACCTAATAACTACTGTGCTTAGCTGAAGAATATGTTTCTTAGATGTACCATGTTCTTGTCCCTATGCAAGAAACATGTTCACATGATGCACTGAGACTTAAGGCATTTCTGGGGCTACTAGGTCTCACAGCCATACAATTTTCTATCCCAACAAACATTTTGCTCTAAAGCAAACATATCCTGAATCGTATTCTTGCATGTGGTGGTTGTGAACTTTATGGCCTCTTAGTAGGCTTTGTACATAAATTCAGCTGCAATTCAGAAAAGGTAGTCTCCCTTTGGAGCTGGCTGGTGTTTTGAAGACCAATTGCTTGAGCTCCATCTGGTATATTAACTTGGTTAAATACATTCCAAGATGTTGTACTTAAGCACAGATAGGAAAAAAAATTCCAATCCTATTCATGGTCTATCTGTAATTTGAACACATTTTAGATAACGATTAATGAACAG